TAACTAAGATTTAGATGATTGTCACCTGGAGCTGTATTCATGCTTTCCTTCTGCTGAAGCACCTGGGGACCATTTGTAGTCACCCATGGTGCCGAAGAACATAAGTAAGTGCCAGGTAAGGAAAGATGAGTTCGTTCTTCCCTGTTCTTTTTGAGATATCATCTGTACGCACGTTCACAAACCAAAGCTAAACTTTTCAAGTCAGTACGCATCTTGCGTCGCGGTCCATGCTGTGTGAGCTAGTTGATTGCAAAGCTATGAGAAAAGAACATTGCGAGGGCACTATGTTAAGGACTCAGATGTTAGGAGAGAGCAAAACTAATGCTGCTGTGCGAATGTAACTCAGTCGTCTTGTGCCTGGGAGTCCTCATGTCTACTCTACAATGCTGCTGTTGCCCAGCGCCCCAGCCTCCTGCGGGAGGATGCTGCTCCTTCAGCAGGGGTTGGGCATTTTGTTTTATCCTTATCAGACTTTTATAAAGTGAGCTTGCATATGAGCCTGTTGTGAGCAAATGAGGTAAAAACTAAATTCCTTCATATGCATGAGATTCAATGACTGATGTTAAAGGTCCTCTTCAGGGACATCTTAATACTTGAGCAAAGGCGTAGCTGCTGGCAGCAGCGGGCCATGCTTCTGAATGGACCAGCACTGTGGCAGAGCAGGAGCACGGTTTAACTATTGCCTTGTCGGTATGCTTAACAGGTATTTAGTGAAAGAGCGATAAAATGTGACATTACTGAATTACACCCCCTAGCTGTGCTGCCTGTTCCCCTTCCGTTATTTCCCAGGCCTGGTTCTCCCTCACCCCAGGGACCTCTTCCCTACCCCTTCTCCCTGCCTGTCCAGCCCCAGTCGCTACCTCTCATGCTCATCAGCTTCTTAGAGACTCCGCTGTTAGACCTAATCTCTCGGGGGATCTTTCCAAGCTTCAAAAACCCAATTGCTGTTTCTGGTTCCTTACCTGCACGCTCTCCTTCCCTGGCAGCTTTCCCTGCCGGTTTCCTGCCCGTACTGCGCCATCACCCCCTCGGTTGCCCCATAGCCCAGCCCCGTTCACTCCTGCCTCTGGATCTACCCTCTGACATTGCAAGTCATTGCCCCAAAGTCTGCAAAGTCAGAGCTTTCCGAAGAGAAGTGAATTATAATTTTTTTCATAGGGATTAACACAGTTTTTCTACCTACATTTCTCAGAATCACCTGAAATTATTTTGGTGAGCGTTTCACTAATAAGGGTTTTCACCAATGAGGATCTTCACAAAAAATACAGTAGGCTGAAGCCCCTGATCTAGAAAATACCAGCCCAACCCCAGTTAGTTTTACAACATTACAGGCACCTGAAAGCGTTGTTTTATAATGGAAATATTTGGCAACCTTTTCTAATGGATGACACCAGCCTGCGGTCAGGCCTGTCTTGCTTCACAGCCCAGCAGAAGGGGTTTGCCGCGGTGAATGTTTGTCACTGTAATTCCTCTACAAATTATTTGGAGTCGGGATTTTCTAAAGCGTTTAAGAGAACAGGAGACATTCAGCCATCACTGAATTTTGAATTAAAATGGGATTTAAACTTCACTGCTTGAAAATCCAGGTCTTAAGATTCCAGGTGGGTACTTTCTCTGAACGGTCCTTCTATCTAACCAGCGCATAAATATATGTGGTTATATTTTGAGGTGAAAACGATTTATATTATATTCATACTTGAATTCTTCATAATCTTTCACTGCGCTTGCCAGTGCTTCGTACTGAAGAAGCATTTAATGCAAAAGACAACCCTCTAGCCTTTAATATAAATCTAAGTCTAAAACTTTTAATAGATATTTATAGCGAGAACCAGTTGTGACAGCTGTGACACTGACATAACGCTTATAGAGAAAGAGAGACAGGTTAACCAGAGACTAACTTTTATTGTGCATTTTTATGCAACAGAACAAATGGAACTGGAGGTATGTAGTAATAAAACCAATATTCAAATTAGAATTAACACCTGAAATAGTAAACTGTAGGTAACAAATGTCTTTATAATTAAAAAATATTGACTGTTTAAAAAATTCTCTAAGATTTTATATTCTTTAAAAGAAATGTGTGTTGCCACATAGAAAACAATTCACACATCCTATAGAAATTGTCACAAAAACCTTACTAGTCTATATTACACTATGCACTTCTTTTTTGTACAATATCTGGTAAAGGTCTATCCCTAACCTGTACTTACTCTACACAGTACAATCATCATTAGAAAGTATTCATAGAATTAACTACACCATAACAATAAAAATATCAGGATTAATGGTTTTTTAATCACAGTTTCTCCACAAATATTTGTCATAGAAAATATAGCGAAGGCATGTTGGCACAGATGGGCGTGCGGTACTGCTACACGAAGTTTGAGAGAAGGCAGATACATAAATGACAGTAAGATTAAAGAGTATGGAAGGATAAGACAAGAATCTCTATCCTCCTGGGGCTTTCTGGAGTGACATGATAGATAGCGGTTTCCTTCTGTCGCAAGCCTGCTGTCTACATCCAGCGCTGGGAAGGGAGGTACTGACTTACAAAGCACACTGCTTAAATACGGATATCTCGCTCTGCAAAGGCTTATATGTGCCATCTATTATTTCGGGTCCCGTACTATTATACCTAATATCTTATAGATATTTAGACACTTCAATGTGTATGAATTTATAATGCCTCAGGAACAAATTAATTGGAATAAGCTGTCGTGAAAGGTTTGGTTTGTTTTTTTTTTTTTAAATGAAATGAGTGGGTCAAGAGTCGAGTGGCCATGATGACCATCAAAAACAAAGACAAACAACTGAGAAAAGTTGTTGTACTCTGTTATTTTAAAACCAAACGTGATCAAAAAAAGATGAGCTGGTGTCTGCTAATGCCTGTCTGTGACTACAATTCATGTCACGGGCCAGTGCACACAAGCAACTGAGGGCAAAATTTTGTTTGTAAAGAAAGGTCCAAACCTGCAAAGCCATTTCTAGTGCCAAAGTGGCTTTCAGGATGAAACTATACATTTGGTTATTTTGCACAATATGAGCGCAGAGGATTGTGAGTGGTTCCAGGACGCTGGCTACGCTTTTTACACTAAAAATAAAGCTAGGCTTACTAGTTATTTCAGCAAATCTTCAGGTTATTAAGTGAGAGAGGTCTGTCCAGTTCAGTAATTCTGTTCTGTGACTGTTAAAAAGGAAGCGCTCGTATTTTTAACCTCATACGATTAAACATTTGAAAGGAAACCATCACAATGTTTACAAAAATACAGCATGATACATACCGCCGTGGACAAATTTACAGTATAATGTTGACTCACATGTTCTGACATGTTTTACCAAGTAGTTCTGGCAAGTGTCACCACATTAAACATAGACCAGCAAGACTTACACCATCTGAGCAATGTAACGTCTTCTATTATAGTTCTTTTAAAAAAAAGTGTAAGTTCAACACTGAAAAGCTACTACAGGATATCTGTACTGTGACATTTCTATACACCAAGTTTCTCCTGCAGAGGCCACCACGCACTGTTGACCGCTCAAAGAAAGTCACCTCCTGCCTGTAGCGAGGGATGCTGTCCCAAACCCCTTGGCCTGGTGAGGTCCAGTATGACTAAACTGCTCATTCACTTTTAGAAAATAAACGAGTTTTCTGGGGCAAGTGAGTGCCTTTCAACCCCCTTTTAAAAAATCATCAAAAATAAAATGAATGGAGAGGTATTGGACATTTAAGGGCCTAAAGCATATCCTGGCTGAGCGAGGTCCCATCTACGGTGGTGTGCGGTGGAGCCCATGTCCTGAGATACCCCCCGGGCCAGCGGTGAGAGACCAGTCACAACCACTGGAAAAGAGGAGGCAGATGGCGGGAAGAAACTATCATGTGGGCGAGCTGACCTTTGAGAGACTGCCTCACTCCTCCATCCGCGGTCAGGCCGGAGCTAGAGGAGAGCTTCACCCCAGGGGGCCCTTCCTGATCTTTGAGGAAGGGGTTGGGTGTCTCCTGCCCTGCCCAGCGCATGGGGAGAAGGTTGGGAAGGAGAGGAGAAGGGTAAAAGGAGCAATTAGTAGCTTCTCTCGTGGCTTGCACAAGGCGGTTAGGAAAGCTGGGGAGTATGAGATACGGGTTCAGGAGAGTCAACGCTGATGAGGTAGTACTAAGAACGGTCAAAAGTGAAGTGAACTTTCCTTCCAAAAACCAGTTCCCTGTACGTGCCAGTGGGGAAATGTTGCCTCAAGGAGAGCTGGTTCAGGCTGTGAAGGATGCCAGCACCGGCCTGAGTGACCGGACAAGGGTAAGGAGATGGAAACACCCTGACGCAGAATGGAAAGGGTATTGCTTCTTTGGCATTGCGTATTTCTGGAGTGCATCAATTTGGAGGGGCAATGGACTCCTAAGCCTTCAAAATTACAGGTTTTCAGTGGACTCATTTTTTTTTAAGTTGGTATCTGCTTCCAATGTTGTGTGCCATTGTGAATTCTGCTCTAGTACAGCTCTTTTCTTAACAGCTCTAAGCTAGTCTGGACCCCATGTTTACTTATACCAGAAGGTTAAACTGGGCTCTTCTTATCCAGCTCCTCCCTGAATGCAACCCTGAGCGTCTGATTGTTAAGACCAGCACACTGCCTCATCTATTTCAAGGAATGGATATAAAACACAAATGAAAGCGAAACCAAGAAAAGGCAATTTTAAAGCCTCTAAAGCTACATAATATACCTGCAGAATAGGAACAGACAAAGCAAAACCTGTGTTCTGAAATGGCAATTTGTTTTTAGCAATCTTGTTTTAATGAAAACTGTCATGATCAACTGTAATCCCCTAGAAATCTAGACAAATATAGCATCTATCTGAAACACAAAGCAATTTTTATCTATTAGAAGTGCCTGTTATTGTTCTGGGTCTTTGAAGGTTTCTGCTGTTGACGAGCACTGCTGTTTTACCCGGGAAGCTTAATTTCCTGGCAGAGTTGGCTAAAGGAAGTCCCTAAATTTTCCATCTTGTGCGCTATTTTAAGGTAGCATTTATAATTATGTTATTTTCTGTTTGGAAATGGGAGACCACTTCTTTTTTTGTTATAAGTGTGCAGACTTGTTCTTACATCTCCCACTCAGGGAGAGCAAATAGTACCCAGCTGTTTTGGGTCCAGACCTAGGCTTGTTATCACTAGGCAGAGGAGAGAGTAGCTGCTGTTTCTTCTGACATTTTTATAGTTTTTAAATGACCTTTCCTCTAGAACTAGATGAAATGAACTGCAATTTCCCTTTGAGGGTGCTATGAAGGATTTGCAAATAATAGGCACTGAGAAGTCCCATAGAGCAGGTCTGGAAATGGATTTCTTTTTGTTAACTGGGACATGGTAGGATGGAGAAGCTGAAATGTATGCAGTATGTGTTCAAACATGCTTTGGACTCTTAAATGACAGCAGGGTAAGTATGTTTAACAAACAGTCTCTCCTAAATTAAGTGGCTGCTACTGTTTTATGAGGTTCTTCTCACTGCCATCAATCGCCAGATCCGTCCTGCATACCTCTATTGAAGACTTCATCCTGTGATCCTGGATGGTCAGTCCCTTCGTAATACGAGTTCCCGTTGTGAAGGAAAGTCCCCACCGCACGCCCTTGCCGAGCATGTCCTACTGCGTCGCTGAATACCTTGTTTATTTGCTCTTCGGATGGCATCCACCAGTCTGGGTTGGAAGTACAATGCATCCTAATGAACTCTGCAGGAAAACATGCAAGGATAAAAAACAACTTGTCTTTGCAGCATCTGTTATTGCCCAGGCGTCAAAAGCTCATGGGAAATAAGAAAGGGGGCATTACTGCTCTACTTAAGCAGAAGTAAAGCCTTATGGGGGATGCCATGATAATGCCACTTGAATCTATTTTATTTCTGTACAAGCGTGTTTCTCCACATGCAGTGTATGTTGTTATACCTGAGCTAATTACGTGACCTGGAGATAAAATCCTTTCTTGTTGAAATAAAAAGAACTAATTTGAAGTGTTGGTTGTGATTCAGCGTGTGCAATACATGTGAAAGTTAACATGAACCGGGATGTATTTCATTTGAAACCTGTTGTGTATTTATACTTCAAGGTGATTACTCTCGCGGATCTTTATGATCTCCCTCTGCTGGCTGCTTCAACATCTGCAGGCTGCAGTAGCCCACAACCTGCTTGAAAATGTCACTACCATTATCTCAGTTTGGTGCTCCTTTCTGTTTGGAATATCTTTCATTTTAAGTCCTGCTCATTCCATCTTCCTGAATCTGACACCTATTTTTCAGAGACTAAATTGGCCTTAGAAATAGCTAAATGAGATAAGAGGGCTAATTTGGGGAGCCTTGCAATAGTTTTCAATGCTGGAGAAAATGAATTGTACTGCATGTAATTTGGCTATTTAAGTAGCTGCTGCTTCCACATACAGCTATTTGTATGTGGTGATTACATTTTTTATAATTTCTTTTCCAGATTCTTTGACATTCAATATACTAACCTTGCAGAAGGCGCCTTACCAATTCTGGAGTTGTAACTGCTAGACATAGCTCAAATAGGTGTATTTGGACTTTGAAGCGTCCAAATACGATTTTAAATGTGAGGGCATCTTATTAGATATATTGGATACACTGTACCTCATATGGAAACTGAGCTTCTTATTTATTCTGTAACATTAGTTATTCCCTCATGCGGTATTGTGTGTCCCAGGATATTTTCAAATTCTATTTTCTACTGTTGACAAGCCAACAGCACAATAAGTGGCGTAAGGTAACTTCATTACTGTCACCACATCTCAAGACCAGGGAATGCTGTGCTTTTACATGAGTTCCCGTGCCTGCAAGGTATCTCATCTGTTGGACAATTAGGACGTGATTTTTGCATAGCTCCTCCAGCAGTGTGTCTGCAAAAGTGATAGCTATCTTGGTTTTAAATTCATTTCCCTGGAAATGCACACAGGCAACAGTAATTCCTACCTAGTTATGTTCACGTGGGGCTCCACAGACTGATGTTTTTCTCAGAGAAATGGTTACCACGTAAAGGAGTAATGCTATAATTTAAGCATGCCAGGCTGTTTTAAAGCTGGTTCCAGACATCAGTCAGTTGTAAGAATATACTAAAAATGTTTATAGATGTTTAAACTACGCTGAGTGCAAAGAGAGAATCAGTTTGTACTCCCTGCTATGGTGGGAAGGCATAATTGGCTGTGCTGAGAATTCGTCAGACACTTGTTACCTTGGCTTGCAAATGGGTAGGAGCCAGTGGTCAACTCTTGGCACCGGAGAAAGTTGTCATCTTCCCACCCATGCATGAAAGCCCAAAGGGAGAGCTGTCTACTCTGCTTTCTTAACTGGTCCTTAGATACTGAATGTTTTGGCTTTCTCCTCAAGCTTCTGAAAATTAAGGAAATTGGCCCTTCTCTTTCTCCCAAGGGGCGCGCCACACATTCTGTGTGTCCAGGACCCCAGAAAGGAGAGTGGCCATAAGCAAAAGTCCATCTACAGGTGGATCTACTGTTAGTCTTGGTGGGAGGCAGGGGGAAGAAAAGGGTATGAACACTCCTCTTGCGCATAAATTATTAAGAGAAATTTAAAGTCATTTAGTAAATGGTTAATGCACTTGTATTCAGCCTTCAGTTTCCAGGAAAACTTCTGGGACCCTGAATCTCGCTCCAGACCTCTGTGCAGCGCGGTGTGCAATGGACTTGCCCTTCTATTAAGCTCTGATAGAGTATAAGGTCTGGTAGAGTTACATGCAACAGGTTAACAGGTTCCTTTGCAGTAAAAAAAGAGCCTCTTTGCCTAATTTGGCTGTATGTAAAACCTGAGTTCATTACCTGGCTACATCAATATATGCCAACTACTAGTCTTAGCCACTTGGCCTTGTTGGATTCTTCTGCCCTAGATGGGAAGAGGCTCCATCTGATGTATATAACCACTTTGGACTCCAGTTGGATGACTGAAGACATTTTTATCACCGACTGACCAAAATACACCTTTTTACACTGCATTGATTAGTAAAACATTCTTGAAGTCAGTTCAACCAAAATTTTGTGTATTTTCTCACAAAATACTATAAAGTTAACTATGAGTTAATTAAAGAAATTATAAGCATATGCATTTATCAAATGCAGATGCTGATACTAAAAATGTGGTTTTAATTGGGCTTTAAACAGCCCTAGTTTGTATGTTTCGTTATAAAGCCCAGTGCCAGGCCGTTTGAACAATTTTAGGAACCCGAAGTATGAACTGCCACAACAGATAATTATTCTCCATCTGGACCCCTTCTCTGTATTGTCCAACATCCTCACTCTCTGACATTGTGAAATGCTTGCAAAACTCCCCCTCCTTTTCAGGCTAAACATGGGGGAAAGTTGTTCCCTAACTTTTTCAGTCAATGTTGCATCAGTACTCCAAAAAAGAAGTTAAATTCTTGACAATGTAGTTGTATATACTTTGTATGTAATTAACCTGTAGATGCTCTTGACCCTACAAAATGTTCAAACCTATTCTGAAACTCAGTTAGCTTTTAACTCCAATGATGCACTGTGGCCTTGAGCGCCATATGCTCACTACACATTAGGCTATAAATATTCCTTTGGTTAATTTTGCTGTATATCAGTGTTAAATAATGCCCTGTTAGTTTATTATAAAAGAGTGTAATCAGGATTGTCTGATTTTCCTTTTTGCTATTTCAAGTATATCAGTCATGTGCCCTTGTATTTGTCTCCTCTCTTAAATGAGCAGCCCTGTTTTTTCCCATTCAAAAAAAAATACACATATATAATACATACATACATACATATATGTATGTATAAAAAAAAAAGCGGAGGGTTTCTGGCTGCTTGCCACCTGCCTGTGAAACCCCTTCTAGTTCTGCAACTGTCAGCCAAATGCTTCTACTGAGCCAGAGCCAATGTGGTGAAATGAGATCACATATGGTGGACACTGAGCGAAAAGATGCAGTACCTCTGAGACATGTTACTTTTACTGGATCCAGAGGACGTCTTTCAGGACCTGTCTCTCCTGACTGCACTGACCTTTTCCTTTTTCCAAGGCCGCATGAGTACTTAAGCTCATCGGTTGTGAAAACAAATCTGATGAGATAGCGAAGGAGCCGTCGTCCATCTTTCTTGGAAGAATTTACAGCCTCATCCCACTGTTTACTAGTGATGTAGACAGGGTAGTTGTTCAGCAACTGCTTGCTCCCCTGAAAAAGTGAAATATTTCCGTTGCTTATTTTACAAGGCAAATAAGTAAAGATGTCAGTTGCAATAAAAAATACGCTTTTTAACTAGCCGCGATACTGACAGCGAAACACATCCTGAAGTGAACATGTAATTGCTCGTACTGAGAATGAGTAATTTTAAAATTACATTTCCATTTTCTAGAACTCGAATTTGGTGAGGTACAAGGAATACATTTTGAGAGATGGCTATTGATAATTTCCACTTTAACAAGCAGGTTAAAGAGTTAAGAACCAGTGACTGGGTATACTATTTAAGTATAACCTTTCTTCTTAATATGTTAAAATGCATAAAAAGGGTCTTTGAAGAGCATGATCAAATGGATCACTTCATTGCAGCTGACAGTTTACTTCAGAGGTGACTCTTTTGGTCTGTTTTTATAATAAATTTATTACTTCTGTAGAACACACCTGAAACTCGACAGCAGTTATGTTACCATGAAAAATATGAAGAAAATAAATAAAGGAACTATGAAAACTAAAAGCTTCATTATTATTAATGAATGCCATATTAACTCAAATTATAGCTTTACAGAAATGCCACCATGTCAGCTGGAAAGAAATTTTGCTTTTAACCTTCATAATTTGTGTGCTTCAATATTCCAACATTAAATGAATGCTGTGGGACTAATTATGGGGATTCCTGTAATCCACACACATTTAGAAGCCCTCTTTAGTCAATTGTACCTAAATTGTATTTAATTCTTGTTCCCCATAAAATGCCATGGTTCAGGATTACCCAGTTAACATAAGACGGTACTGTTAATCTACTTGAAATAATTGAAGTAAATAAAAGACCCAAACCACACCCTCCTAGAGATTCATTCACTTTTACAGCTGCCCCTCTTTATTAAAACACATAATTCTGGAGGCCCAATTAGTAAAAGCTTCGTATAGCCCCCAGCTTAGATAGGAGCTCACAGTGAACTAGAGAAACACGGGTCTGATGCTCAACAGAGGCAATCACCCGCATGCTGCACTTGTAGGCAACTGTTGCAAAGTTCTCCTCCTCGCTTCCAGATCTTTGATACCTGAAAACTATTTTAAGGACTACCCTTGCCTCCTTTCATATATTTATTATAGCATCCTGGGAGACAGCTTGGGAGCATCTTTGAAGTTTTTCCTCAGGTATTTGCTTTTAATTTTTTTTTCAAGTTTGATAAATATGTGGAAGGTAGAATTTAGTGAAGACTGTGATGAGGGGGACCTTGGAGAATCTGTTCATGTGATTTATGGTACCGCCACCTCCTACGGCGGGGTTAGCATCACGGGGAGCTGAGCCTGTGTGACTGTCTGCTACTTGTTCCCCTCGGCGCAAGCCTAGCTGGCTTGGTGCAAACTGCTGGCAAAGGTAGCTACAACCAAATCCAAAACTCTGCAAAGGAAGCCAAAATATAAAGGCGGAGATGGGCTTTGTCTGTCTGATGGGCCCCTATCCTTCCCCCAAAACATCTCAACCCTTTAGCTTGCAAATCCAAGCTTGTGACCCCTAAGAGAAAGACCCTAGTCCAACTCTGTCTATAATGTGCGTTGCACCTGTCTGCTCCCACTTCTGCAACAGGGCCAGGGTCAATTCCTCCCCCTCCACTCATGATGCAAGAAGCTGCTTTAATTTTTGCCAGGTACACAGGCCCCTGGGAAGCCAGTAGTACGGCTGAGGAGCTCTGCTGTGGAAAGAACATTTCCTCCATCCAGCCCACCTCCTCGTCCTCTGCCAACGTGGCAAGGCGGCCAGGGAAGGAGGAAGAGCAGGGGGGCAGCATGGAAAGCTCCTTGGGGGCATGATACTCTTACGCTGAAGCAACTGGGACTACTCCAGCTCAGTGGGCACTGACACTAGTATTTCCTTGGCTTGTTCCATCACAAAGGTAATACACAGCACCATTTGATCCCCACACTGCTACTAATTTTTTTCAGCAGCTAGCTCAGCATCCCTTTTATGTAAAGCTAATTATTTTCCTACCTTAGATTCCTGAAACCTACTTCTTTCCCTATTTAAAAAAAACTGTAGTGAAGCAAGAACCTTTCTTACGGACACCGGCACAAAGTATAAGCTGCAGCTAACTCTGTAGGCACTGCCTTGCTTTTGTGCCCTGGCAGGCAGGAGCAACGCAATGCAAGCCTGTAATGGCACAGTGTAAGGCTCCAGGCTTGCTCATGTGTGTTAGGGATGGATGCTAATGTGTGGCTTTGCTAAGCAGCAAGCTATCCTAAAAGCTACCTCTGTGTTTAAATGTATTGCATTGATGGAAATAGGGTGCAGAAGGGCCCAAAATCTAAATTTCATGAGAGCTCACATTACTATTAACTGAGGAGAAGGCAATAAATTTTGCATAATTTTCTCAGCCCCAATTTTATTATACTTCTCTCTTATTCCCCCTGAAATTTAGAATATTTTTCCTCCTTCTTCTCCAAAGGCATGATATAGTGTTATGCTACTCTGTTAAACAATTACTGGGTTCCTGCTACAGATACACTTTCATTACGTCCTCTGAAAGTAAAGCACTTCTGGGCAAAAGATTCTCGGTAAATATATGATGCAGTTTGGTGTGTCCAGCAGTCATTAAACTAAAACAAACAGAAAACCTTCCAGAAATGAAATAAGCAGATCCTGAAGGAAGAACCAAAGTACAAATGCGTTCATGCTTGTATTTGTACATGATTAAGCTTATGAATAAAAGATTAGCATCTATGTGTTTAATTGAATAAAAAATTCTGTCACATCATGACAAGCTACTCCATGTGGGACGTTACAGAACAGCTTCATTTTTTACAGTGCTTGAAAATTTTAGTTAAGCAAAAGAGCATTAACAAAAGGAAATTGAATCCTTGGAATATATTTGAGTGATAACAGCTAATGATATATATAAATATATATATGTGTATATCAATTTGCACAGGATAAAACTGAATGGAGGAGCAAAGTGATGCACATCCTGAACTGCTGCAACGCATCTTCAGTGAAACTATGGTAAGTTGGACTACATGAGGCTTGCACTACATATAATTTATGTGCAAAGGGAGGTCAGACTAGACCTAAGTCTTCTCTCTTCTGACTTTGCGTGAATAATGGGCAGTGACACGTATACACTACATAACATGCACAGCAAGAGCCTCAAATACAGACAGTCTAAACAAGAAAAGTCTCAACAAAACCACTTCATTTGAGGCATTTTTACAAGCCTGGATAGAAACACACTGGAGCAAAATTAATGTGAGTTACACTAGAGCTGATAGCTAAATCTATACATCTACCTTCTAGAGAAGGGGAGGACTTAAATTTCCTGCTTTTTCACTGCAGCGCTTTTAAACGGTTCATAATTACAAAAATCCCTAACTCCATATCAAGTATAAAATTGTGAACGCTCAATATCTTGTTTGGGATGCTTTCTGAAAAGCAAGAGCACTCCAAAGACTTGCAGAAGTCTATATTTGGGCCTGTCTGCAAAATGAAGGAAAAGTATACTTTAGTGTTAACCACCTCAGGGCTGCGTTAGAGCTATACAAACTGCATAGAGACGCACGCCTGCGTCCATACACACGACACGTCAGTACCCTCCACGCGCGGGTTGCAGCCTCTGTGCGCCGGCAGCCGCTGCGTGCAGCCACCATCAATCACCAGCTGCAGTTTTCACCAGGCTAGCCCTAGCCTAAATTCTACCCACAAAAGTGATGTTTCTGAGGAAAGGTGAGAGAAAAATTACCCAAAGCAAGGCAAGTGCAGCTGGTGCCGATGGAGTTAAGTGCTGCTCAGTAAAGTCATCCTAGATTATACTAGTGATGAGCCTCCTCCATTTGGGGGATTACTGTACCTAAGAATGACAGTTTAATAATAGATTTTACATGTTCTTACTACTAAATATATTCTTCCAGTGCATACTGATTTATTTGCCTACATGTTTTCAATGAATTGTCAAACATAAAGAGATGTAGCTTGTCTTCACTGTATACTACCTCAGTCGGATGGTCTGTTGGCTGTGGTACCATAAGCTGGTTGTGATGCTGAAGAACAGTCTTCAAATAATCTAAAACAGTCTGGCAGGGCACTGCATGAAACAAATTGCAATTACTGTATATTAGCTATCTAGCACAAAATAGAACAACATTATTAAATCAGGCAGCGTTCTTCAGGATCTGTTTTGTACGTCTGTGAGATTTACTTCAAATAGGAAATACTTCTCATTTTGATTTGTGCAGTCATTTCATTCAATAAATATACGACAGATGTTGTATTTCCTATGTTGAGATCTCTGACATTGCTTTTATTTTCTGCCCACTAGTGTTCAAAGGTTTTTTTTTCCTAGTTTGAAATTATAATTATTACAAATACAAATTAGGTCAGCAGTAATGACGATAAGAAAAAAATCTGTAAATACTGTAAACAGCCTAAACCATACAAAGGAGAAAATATTTCTTGGACCTAAATCATGCACTGATTAACATGTAAATACGCTCACATGTTTTTGAAACTACAGTCTGATTAACTACACTGAACAGATTTAATGATTCATATACTTTAATTTAATTTCTTTTCCCTCCCTCCTCCCAAATTTGTTATAAAACTAGGTGTTAGGCAAATTGCTTTATTTCTCTTTCCCTCATCCTTCCCCCTTTCCATTCCCATCACTCTCATCCATTTCAGTAGTGGTACCAACATCCTGTTCCCTTCTGCTGAGGTGATAGGTTAATTAGGGATGATTCAATTACGGGTCTCTCTTAAGCAGATGCTGCCACATCCCTGATTAACTCTGGAGTATTTTTGAGATACAGTGCTTTTCTCCTGAGCCTGAAACACCGTAGGAGAATTAAACAGATATTAACCCAACATTACAACTGACTTCTGCAAGACTTAATAAGCATTGTTTTTAAGGTACCTTATTACTCTCACATTTCGTATGGATTGTTTCTGTAAAATATTTGGAGATAATCTTAGCTTCAGCTAAAAATCCAGAGAAAAAATTTCAGTGTTCCTTTTTTTTTTTTTATTTCTTGGCATTCAGCCTTTACACCTGGAAAAATGTGCTGTTTTGGGCTTTGTCTTAAGCTGGCAATCTGAAAGCAAGCACTGAAATCACTGAGAATGTCTCAAGGTAAGATTTACAGGTATTTTGCACCCTTTCCTGGGCATTCACACTGCTCAGCAACTATGCTCCTGTCTAGGCAGACAGGGTGCAAAACACCTTTACTTTGTGCAAAGCAGACTTCACTAAGGGCTACGCGGTGTTACATCCAGCAGTCCCCACACAGAAGTCATGCAAAGTGTCTGATATGAATAATAAATTCCTATGTCTTTTCACCGCATGCTGACTTCCCCGTAAAGGTGACCCATCAGAGTATTTACTCCTCTTTCATTTGACATATCACGCTTTGCCATAGGCAGTTAGGAGGGTATGTGTTAGGCAAAAGTTAGCATTTCAAGTCACTTGTACCTGTTTTACTTCTCCGGTGACTTCACTGCTTATTGCTAGACCAGGGCAGTGTCTCAGTAGTGTAGCTGCTACACAGTGCCACTGCCATATGAGCAAGAGAGCCTGGACGCTTCTTTTTTTTGTAAGGAAAAAAAGCACTTTTAAGCATCACCAGACGGTTTTAGAAAATGTTTCAATTCTGAAAATGTCAGAAGGGCAGTCAAGCTTAATAGTCCCACCAACACGTCCTGTGGCCTTCCTGTAATGAGAACTGTGCATTTAGCATATAGCAGCAATCAAAAAAATTAATACAAGCTCTTACGTGGATTAAAGGAATAAAATGTACTAACCACAGGTCACGTTTTAGTACATTGGATATTTGTAAGAAGGTGTGGCAAAAAAAGGATTTGGCTTTTTCCCCCTCATTTTTATATACAGGAAAGCATATAGGGGAAGAAGAAAAGATTTTTTTTTTTTTTTTTCCATGTGGATGGGCTGAAGGATAAGATCATCTTTTGAGATCCTTTTCTTATACTCTGTGTGTGTTTGCTGCCTGGTATGTCCAAAACTAAGATAAAACTAGGAATGCCCATGCACGGGTTACTCCATGATTACATAGGTGTCCAAGAAAGATGCACAAGGATCACGAAGGCTCGCTGCCCCGGGCAGCCTCAAAAACCCTGTGACAAGGTCAGCAAAAACTCCCACTCGGGTGGAAGTTACCACGGGCAACCAGCATCTCCCGTGAGATCCTGCATCTCCTGCATGGTGACAGCAAGGATGGGACGGGCTATGACGGGTGATTGTACCACTGCCTGAAAGAAAAGATGCCTGATACTTGGACTTGGAGGAGAGCTGAGTGATACTTGGGGAATCAGAGCTACTTGCAAAGTATACCTTTCCTTCCCTGTCAACATGTGTCGCTTTTTGTTTAGCAAGCTCACTGAGGACACAGTTGCCAAAGCGTCAGTGGTACCTGGGAGCTTTAGACCTCTTTGGTCCCCATGAAGCTGTGCTCAAAACAGTCTGTGAAGTTTGCACTTGCTTTTCTCATTATCTCTATTAGCAAAAGTCCCTGGTGATGACCTGATGGCTCTCAGCCATACTTGGTACTATTATCTGTAATTATGTGGAACAACGTGGGACCTGAAAGGGAACAGAATATAATGCATCAAAAACTTCTAATGTTTAGGAGCTGATCTCACAGCAGGATGGTATTTTACCCACAGTTAGTAATTTCCAGGCTATCCAAAGATGTATTTACCTATGTTCTTCCAAAGGGATGGGGCATAAGTGAGAAGACAACAGGAAACTATTTAACCCATTGTGTCTCCTGCACATGAAGTACAGCTCTACTTTAACTGTATTCTGCTGATAAAATGCTTTCTCGTTACCGGTGAGAAATATGAAGAATACTAAAAGTTGGCTGAAGCTTATAAATACTTCTATTTTCATAAAAGCAGTAATGTTTCAAGCACAAAATTGTATGATTTTGTTATCATTGTAGTGACTGGAGGACTCTGAGTGCTTTTCACTTGTAAAGCCATCATACATCACGCTGTTTGCTGTTGGTAGAGATAACCTCAGCCTTTCAAACACCAGATGCTACTTGCAAAGCCAGGGTTCTTGGGCTGCCGCATTAACCGAAGCCTAAAGGAAGCCACAAAGAGGGCAGCACGAGGCCGAGAGTCAAAGCTTTGGTTTTGTCTCCATGTCCCTCTTATGGCTCTACAAATACTCTCTTTGCCGAGAGATAAGAGGAACTGTTTCCTTCAAACCCTGCGGCAAATGTAACTTTGTAAGAGCCTGTGGCTCCCAATTGCTAGTATGGAAAAATCATTTAAACCTACTAGCTTATTTATTTTGTATTTCTTTGACTTTGATGTGGTCTCTAGAGAGTTAACAAGATCATAACCCCGAGAGCTGATTCTCTGCATGCTTATGCACGTATCTGCTATCACCGACATCACCAACAGTGATCTGTGCCTACTGGAACCAACGGGAAAGATGCTAATGTCGAAATAACACTTGCTTGTTATGATTTAGTAGAAAGCCTGCGGGGAGGCAGTAATTTTCCTGCCCATTAGGGAGAAGTTTCCACAGCCTTTACTTTCTGAAAGTGCCAGTGACTCAGAAAAGACACTGGAAGCGGCAAAGTAACCTGGCCTGCAGCGAGTGAAAAGAAGAGTGAGATCTTTGCAGGAGCTAAAGGGTGAGGAGGAGGTGCCACAGGGGACTTGGCATGCTGGGGAAGGCTGGTCTTGCTAAGATGCTGAGCAGTGACTAAGCAGGACATGTGTAAAAAGTGGCAGGTCTTTGTTTTTTATCGATCCAAGTTTTAAGACTTCGTTGTCATTCTAGGCATCTGTGCACTGTAACAAGTGCTGCTTCGGCATAGCTTGTCACAGCTTTCTCTGCGAGTATCCTAATTTCTAATAAATAGTTGAACAGCGTGGTGGCTACCGACTGTGCCGATGGCAAAAGCCGGGGTGTGATCTCTCAGTCTGACCTGCCACACAGCGCAGCAACTCCCCAGGCTGAATCCTCTTTGCACCGGACAGTATCAGTGGGAAAAACACAGTACAACACAGTTTCTACCCTTGGCTCATTGTTACCGCATGTGCTATTTCACCCTCAGAAACATACACCTCATTTCAAGGCTGCATTTTGTTTTCCTTCAACTGGGTTTTACAAAATCTTTGCAAAAGAAATGGAAAATGCCTGTCACCTGTTATGTACTTATAGTTAGTGGTGAAGTCATTTCTGCATCTTCTCTTTGCTCAGCTCAACAGTGACCTTCTTGAGATGCCAGGCTCCTGCTAAAAGCAGAGTCCCTGTACTTACCCACGTGTCTGTACAGCCAAAGACCATGCCAGCCCTTTTGGCCACGCTGTACATCAATACTTGGCCAGAAAGCCACCATGTCCTCCAAAAGCCTTTCTCAGTGTCCATTTCCCAGGGGCTGAAACCAAGTAGAGTGATGTTCTCTGTGCCTCAACAGGTGGTAACGCTGCACTGTGTTCAGCCAAGTCTGCCACCTCTCATCTTCCTCACTCACTGCTACCTCTGCACCGCTTGCAAGCTGTGAGCAATGATTGTATGCTTGCTTTCACTGATTAAAGTATTAAAAACATGGGCTGTGAACAGTTTCACAAAGAATGCCTCCAGAAATTCATCTGCATCATGGCAATTTTCTGAATACAAATACATTTTGTGTTTTTTAAATCACACTTTGTAATATAATGTTATGTAACACCCTGAATATCTGCAATACCCTCCTCAACCAAACTCAAACATCCCAAATACTCCAAAGCATAAAGAAAATCATAGTCAGAGTCCTCTTTGTCCACTTTCATTTTTGTTTTAGCTCCTGAAGCGAGTTGTCCAAATCTCATGATTTTGAAAACATCACGCTTTGGTAGCAGCTGCCTAATGCTTTAGGTAATAAGTTGATGTGCACTTAGGGATGAAAAGCTTGTGGGCCCAAGCAGCTACTGCTCTCGGCGGCCTGTGCTGTGGCTCTCCAGGCGATGCCAGTCTCTGAAAGAGGGACTTCTGACTCTGCTCTTGAACCACGCTGTCTTACAACCTGGGCTGGAATCAGCATCTCTTTATCATTTCTAAAAAGGCCGGCAATT